AACAGAATAGAATCACCCATGCAAACAAGTTAAACTCTCCCAAGAGGAGAGCAGGAATTCAAGAGAGAGGAGACATAGGACCCCAGTGAGTGTAGGTAGGATTAGTCCCTGAATGAGGCTTTAAAGGGAGAATATCTAAAATAATGAAAGAGAAAAAAAATAAGACTACAAACCCTAGTGCAAGGATGTTATTGGAGAAGAACTAAAAAAATGAACAGGTATATTTTTAAAAGAACCAAATAGAACTTTATAAAAACCATAGTAATTGAAACCCATGCATAATTTTTTTCATAATATGCATTTTCCACAAACTTTTGAAGACCTCCTTCATATGTCACCCCAGAGAAATTCTTAAAAGCAACCCACAGATAAAAATAACATTTTATATAAAGGAACACAAACTAGATTGATAGTCAAGTTCTTAAGAAACATATACATTAAAAATTATATCGGGCTAGCCTGTGGCCTAGTGGTTAAGGGGACTGAATTCCTGGATCCCATATGGCCAACCACACAGTAGTTGACTCCTGGACCCAACAGCTTGAAAACCATACTGAGTGCGTGTACATGCATGTCCAAAATCCCAGAAGGAGGGATATGGAGAAAAAGAGATTGGAACATGACCTTGCCCCACTGCAGGGGAGGACGCCTTCTGACTCTCATTGTCTCTCCCTGGTGAGCATATATACTCTCTAGCAAAAACTTTTAAAAATTAATATTGTAAGGACCAGCAGATGGCATAATGATTACATCGCTGGACTCCCACATGGCTAACCATGGTTCAAGTCCCAGGGGCTTGAAACTCATGTCAGGCGCATGCACGTGTGTGCCCAAAATCCCAAGAAGAGACTGGAAGAGCAGGGATTGCATTGTGGCCATCCCCCCGGAGGGTGATTTCTAGCTTTCTTTCTCTCTATCTCTGTCTCTCTGTCAAGCACACCGCCTTACAGCAAAAATCTCTTAAAATTTTATTTTTTAAATTAATATTGTAAAGGCGATGCCAACAGCTAGAATTCCGTATCAAGCTATTGTAGATATTCACTGTTTTAGCTACCCAACTCTCAGAAAAGCTGCTCATTTGGGGAAATTTCTAGATAGGTAGAAATCAGGGCCCTATTTTCCACAACAAGACAAGCCCCTTTCCTGGCCCCAGCAGCTACAGTATAGGCCAGAGCCAATCAAATGTCATGTGACTCAGACGTGGAATTGAGAACAGGTAGCATGACACCCAGGGTACAGGGTGACGGCCTCCAAGGTAGCATTCATAGCCATTGTCCCTGTGATTGGACCCAGCTGGGCTTTGATCTCTGAGTGTGCTTCTCCTTGTTAATGAGGTAAGCTCCCTGAAACTTAAAGCAAGTTATTTTTCTCTTTACGTGAATTAGAGTCTGCTAGTACATGCAATCAAGAGCCCTATGATGTTTAACTTTTGGTGTTAACCTGACTGAGCTAAGAGATGCCCAGGTAAGTGGTAAGACATTATTTCTGGGTGCCTCTGGCGTGTTTCCAAAAGAAAATTAGCACTTGAATCAATGGACTGAGTAAATCCATCCACCCGCCCCAATGTGAGTGGACATCATCCAATCTGTTGAGGGCAGGAACAGAACAAAAGACCAGAAGAGAGGTGAATGCTCTCTCTCCTTGAGCCGTGACATCCTTCTCCTCCTACCCTGGGATACCAGAGTTCCCTCCCTGGTTCTTAGGTCTTTGGACTAAAAATGAATGACATCACTGGCTTGCCCACTTCCCCAGCTTGCAAACAGTGGACTCTGGGACTTTACGGCCCCCTTAATCTCATGAGCCAATTCCCAAAATGAATCTCCTCTTCTCCAGCTATCCAGCCTTCCAGCCAAGCTACCCCTTTGGTTCTATTTCTCTGGAGAACCCTTACTAATACAAGCCCTGACTTGTTAAACTACTATTCAGTAGTTGGGGGATACAGAGTCCAGGGTGAGAATGGGCTCTCTGTCTCACACAGGGCTGACAAGGTTGTCTGTGTCAAGCTATCTTTGAAGCAGAGATCTGAAGGATCTTTGGGAGTGAAGAATGAGGCTCCTCTGGGAAAGACTTTTCAGTACAGTGGGAATAACAACAGCCCTAGGAAGAAGCCTGCTCGGCATAGTTCAGGAACAGTGTGATGGAGCCTGCTAATGTGTGTATTAAAAACTCATGTGTGGGACCAGTAGATGGCATAGCAGTTTTGTGACTGGACACCCATGTAGTTGACCATGGTTCAAGTCCCGGACCTGGTGGCTTAAAACTCACACAGGTGTGTGTGTGTGCATGCCAAGAATCCTAAGAAGAGAATGGAGGAGAAGGGATTGCAGTATGACCTTTGGAGGGTGACACTCACTTTCTGTCTCTCTGGTGAGTGCACGCACTCTATAGCAAAAATCTCTGTAGAAAAAACAAACAAACAAAAAACCCCACACTGTGTGGCTCCTGGGCCTACACTTCTCACTGCAGTTAGGCATGG